TTTCCAATATATACTGTTCATGCTGTTGCCTTCTTAAAGTGTTTAAGTTACTTTACCTCTTGCGTACCTCTCATGATCATTACGGTAACCACGAATTATTGGCCAGGGACGTAACCTACAGTCTGCTTGCCTCCTTTTCCATCTGCCATCAGGCCGCTGCTCACACGGTCTTGGAACCAGCTCATAAGGCCTATAGCTTTACAATTTAACGGGAGCTGAGAAATTGTGGGCAAATACCAAAAGTCATTATGGCTTACTATTTTATGGTCATGAATTCAAATCCCTTCATTTTGCAGATCTGAAAGCTCAGACTCCACGGATTAAGCCTCACCCAAGGTCACACAATGAACTATAGTTAGGTGGCATCTTACAATTTGTAGTTCAGACAGAAAAAGGTTTTTTAGTCAAAATTGCCCTTAAGAATTTCTAAAATTATCCTTTAGCATAAAATATCCTTATTAAAGTTTGAGGACTATAGAGATAGACTGAGAACATAAGAAAAGTCTACAGGTAGATTATTGTCTAGTCAAACCCTTTACCTTCAAGATAACCATCAAATCCAATAAATGCGAAACAGAGAGAGACATTTTCAGTGTTCTTGCTTCTCTACAGAATAGTTTCATTTGTTCCCAGCATTAAACCTCCGTAACCTTACTACATTTCAATTGATTAGTCACTCCTCTGAAGATTAGAGGCTTATGTTCTAATACTCAGATATTAAATGCACCTATAATACAATTCCACTCTGGGGATATAGGGCAGACAAAGATATACAAATATACAGATCTCCTTGTTCCCCATCAGCCCTTTCTCAACTTCCTACCTATTTATTAGACACCGATCTCTAAATATGACCTGGAAAACGGGAGGAACACAAAAGGTTTCCTAATAACCACTCCAGTGCCCTCCGGTTTACTTCTTTCCTGTTTTCCTTTTGTTCCCTGTGTGATTAAGGTTGCTCTGTAAGAGAAGTATTAGTAAATGAGAAGCCATTTGAGTTACATTGAGTCATTTTGATTAGCATCTTTGGTAACTTTTTTCTCTCTCAAAACATATGGTAAAGCAACATGTAATTTTCCAATAATTGTGATTTCAAATCTAAAGTACTCTTTGTTCATTCCCGAAACCCGAAGCAAACATCTGGTGGTTAACGCTTTGAGAAAAAAAGTACCTGAGTGCATTACCTCTGTATATGATTCAAGATCATGGGCAAAAATATGTAGATGAGATCAAGCCACGAACGCTTAAGTTGATCCATTCAATTAAAAAAGGAAAAAGAAAAAGCCCAGGCGCTTCTGTGTTTCCTCTAATGTAGGGAATAAAGACCATGCGGTAGCCTTAGGGTTTCTTCCTTTCTGCCTCCTCTTGCAATTGGATATCAACTGTTTCCAGTATATATCCTCCCATTGGAACAAAAGATGTGACTGCTTTCCTATCCCTATTCCATATTTGCTCAGAATTATTTCAGTTTGTGCCTACCATCAGGTTCATATTGCTATGCGTTTTGTTAATTAGAGTCGTATTTCCTACAAAAAACTTATGTCCCATTTTTTCATGTTTTATTTTAAGATTTATTCTAGCTCATACTTTTCATTTAAAGACAACAGTTGGAATAGGGCTGGACGCGGTGGCTCACGCCTGTAATCCCAGCACTTTGGGAGGCTGAGGCGGGCAGATCATGAGGTCAACAGATCGAGACCATCTTGGCCAACATGGTGAAACCCCGTCTCTACTGAAAATAAAAAAAAAAATTAGGTGGGCATGGTGGCGCACGCCTGTAATCCCAGCTACTCGGGAGGCTGAGGCAGAAGAATTGCTTGAACCTGGGAGGCAGAGGTTGCAGTGAGCCAAGGTCACACCACTGCACTCCAGCCTGGTGCCTGGTGATGGAGTGAGACTCTGTCTCAAATAAATAAATAAATAAATAAATAAATAAAAATAAATAAATAAGAGACAACAGTTGGAATAAAATTTGAAATAGAGATGCACTGTCCATTTTGTAATGTGGTTTATTTTAGCAAAGTATTTTGAAAAATAAAAAATGTAGAGTGGTAGTGTATTCGTCTGCTAGGGCGGCCGTAACAAAATACCACAGACTGGGTGGCTTAAACAACAGGAATTTGTCGCTCACAGTTCTAGAGCCTGGAAGTCCAAGGTCAAGGTGTTGGCTTTCAGCTTCTCCTGAGGCTCCACTCTTGGCTTTCCGATGGCTGTCTTCTTGAGGATGGCCTTCCGTGGCCTCTTCTGTGTCTGTATGCCACTGATGTATTTCATCCTCCTATAAGGAAAGGATGCAGTCATATTGGATGAGGGTCATACTCTTATGACTTTATTTGACCTTAGTTACCTCTTTAAAGGCCCAGTCTCAAAATATAGTCGCAGTGGGGATTAGGGCTTCAACATTCGAATTTCAGGAGAACACGATTCCGTTTATAACAGGGAGCAAGCAATGCCATTAATCAAATATTCTGTAATCTTCCCCTTGAAGAAAAAAATAAAATATTAGGAAGGAAAGTGATAAATTTTTCATTTACATGTGATATCAAATTATTCAAAATATAAATTTATATGTGAATCATTTCTATGAAATATCATTTATAAGCGAATGAGTGAATGAACATAAAATAAGCATCAACTCTGCTTTTTGACCTATCTTAATAGAACCCACAAAGATTCAGCAAAGGAAGAACCAGGCACGCTAGGAATTTACACTTTTCCATATTTTTTTCTGGAACAAAGATAGATCCAGCGTGAGAAATGCCAGATGGGACTGCTGCTCTTCTCTATGTTCTTGGGTCAAATGGACAAATTTGGTCTTTATTCTCTGGAAATGTGGCTTCCATATTTGAAACAAGCCTGCCTGAATCTTACTTAAATACCTTCAATATGCAGAACCACAAGACTGAGGCACCTGAGTCACAAACATACAATAAAACAAGAATACTGTAGTACTGGGCACAAATACAGGCAGAGATATCTTTACCCCCTTGTGAAGATCACACCAGTTCTGTAGAACATGGCTTTATGTTCAGCTGGATCATTTGCAGTGTTCTCACTTCCGATTTTTTTTTTTAGTGCTTTGGATTAGGGTAGACAGATTTAGCAAATAAGAATATAGGGTGCCCAGTTACATTTGAATTGCAGATAAACAATGATGTGTTGTTTTCTTAAGTATAAACATGTCTCATATAATATTTGGGATATGCTCATACCAAAAAAATGCCTTTGTGGAACAAGCTTACAGTGAAAAATTATTTGTTATTTCTCTGAAATACAAATTTATGAGTCCCTTATTTTATGTGGCTACCCTACTTTGGGTTCAAGAATGAGTCTTGTCCCCTTGTGGCTCCCTCCCCTCAACATTTTTAAGCTACTGCCACCAACTTTGTAAATTTAATTCCCTAGTCTTAACTTGGTGCTGTCTCAAAGCATGAAAACCCCAGGCTTCGGGCTCCCTCCTATCGGGCCATGTGGTTTGATATGTAGTTATAGAATATCTGTGTTCAAACGCGAAGGTTCGTTTTATACAGCTTTTATCCCTGTGCTGAAGTATTACATCTTTACATCATATGATAGCATTAGTATACATAAGGTACCTGATTGTATGGTGAGAAATTTCTAGACCTTTAAATTTCTAAGCCGTGGGCTCAGTTTGCTGACCTGTAAGATCAGGGGATTGGATTCAAGCTGTTCCTTCTAACCATGCTGCTAGTCTTTGAAATGAAGTTTCCAGTAACGCTCTCATTTGCCTTGTGAGACCTAAACTGTTCCCATTTTGAATGAATCCCTTTTTTTTTTTTTTTTGTCCAGAGTAAGTAGTGTTTACTAAACATTACTAAATAAGTAATGTTTAGATTACTCAATTAATCGTTTCACCTTTCAAGATATTTAACCTGAATTCCGTAAGGGCCAGAGAACACACTTTTCTTTCTTTCCACCTCTACTTGCGCCAGGCTTTGCACACAGTGGGTCATCAGATTACGTGATTATGAACATGGATAACGTGGAAACAATCCCTTTGTGCTGGGCTCTGACTGTCACAAATAATTTCTGCTGTGAACCTAAGCCAGCTCCGCGGTTTAAGACGCGACCTGGGAGCCGCTAGTTGTTCTCTTGCGCCATCTAGTGGCCCTAGCGCTGCTTTCGTCCGCCTCGGCGCGCAGTTTGGAGCTGCAAGGATTTCGAAGATTGTAAATCAAACGGATGAATTGTTTTATTCTTGTCATTACAGTAAAAAGGGATTTATAGAGTGTTTCAAGAGATAAAAGGTAATAAATGTTAATAAAATTTAAGAGTAACACAATGGCAGACCTTAATTCTTGAACCTTTAGATTAAATTCATGCAATTTAATCCCTTTAATATGTTGAAATATTAAGTTGAACATTAAAGAATAAAAATATAGACTATATTAAAGTTTTTGAAAGAAAGACTATCCTTTCAAGGTGTTCTTGTGTACTGTTAAAGAAGGTTTTCATATAAAATCATTGTAATCATAGCAGATGTAAAGGAAAGAAAGAGAGCTGAAATAAAATTCTGGTAAGTGTTAAACTGGTAGAGAATGTTTCGGTCCTGTATTGAAGCACTTGTCTTCCATTAAGTTAGAGATTATTCTCATTATTATTTATAAATTCAATACAATGTTTAATGAGTGTTGAATGAGATGTAGTTTTAATGTCCTATAATCTGGAACTTTATTCAAATGGCATTATAGTGGGGTTAATTGTGTGAATCTAAAGTAAAAATAAATTTCTCTAATGAATGAAATAAAATATTTCTGAAGTGTGACTTATTTCCCTCTAAAGCTATTTTCACTGAATAATTATAGGGAAATATTTCTGACATTTTCACATTATTCTGGCTTTCTTTTGATTTTAATTTAAAATGCCAGTGCTATTATGAAGTGTTTAGATCTTTCTAATAAAAAATATTTCATTGGAATTCCATTTTGTTTTTAATACAATGGTAAGCCAGCTAAGAGATCTCCCAATTTGTTTTCCAGGGTGGAAAAATCCCCATAAGGTGGACAGCTCCAGAAGCCATCGCCTACAGAAAATTCTCCTCAGCAAGTGATGCGTGGAGCTATGGCATTGTCATGTGGGAGGTCATGTCCTATGGAGAGAGGCCTTACTGGGAAATGTCTAACCAAGATGTAAGTGCTACCCATAGTTAAACTGTCACTTTGTGAATGTAAGCACATTAGCTCGAGGGGAAATACGCCTTTCGTCCTCACTCAGATTGGCCTTTATCTTCCGGAGAGCGGCTCCTGTTCTGTGGCTGAGTTTGAGAAGCTGAGTAACCTTTCTGAGCTGTATTTGGTGTCCTCAGGGACAGCTGCCAGGCTGTGCCATGTGAGTGATCCACGTGTCACAGCTGAGATTTCCACCCTCGTTGTAATGCAGCTTGACTATGTTTATGCAATAGCCTTGACCTACAAGTAAGACAAAAGAAAGAGTAACATTTACTTTTTCTTTCTTCCTTAGGGCAACTCAATGCACCACTGGAAAGAGCAAATTAATTTAGACTTTGAACTCAGAGGAAAAAGAGTGAATGCTTTCAGGCAATGCATTATCAATATATGCCGTCTAGTGCGGTTCTTTTAAGATACGTGACCCTAAATGCCAAATGTTTTGTTTCTATTTTATCTATAAAACTACCTTGCTGGTTGATTCTATACTACTGTAGAACAGGAGAGTTCACACATTTAACCCCTGCGACCCATCCACAGCAATGGAGACAGCATTCAGAAGATGCAGGTACTCTGACAATGCAATAAGAGCTGTCAGAGCTGACGTCATATTTTAAGTTCCCACTTTCTCATCTCAAAATGCAGGCTTTGTCTACTCACCTGTTCTTCTCGAAGTCTATGTTGGTTTACGTGACAATGGCAACGAGAAATCACCTCTAACGTGATTCTGAATGTTCCTAGGTGAAAACAAAGACTATGTAACTATAAATAACCCCTAAACGCTGTTGCCACATCTCATTTCTTTTCGCCAGTTTTCACACAACTTAAGCAACCCACGCACACCTCGACACCTCACACCGTCCCAATCTCAAATTGTCCAAGTATCTTAAGGACTTAATCACAGATAACATGTATCCTTTTCTAGTGTCAGGCGGAGAGAAGACTGCATTTTGATTGGCCGGCTGTGGCTAGTGTTTCTCCCTATGCTTTTGAAACTGACTCATGCTTAGTACTGTGGGTGTCTATTTAGTCTGTGGAAAATGCTAGATCCAGAAGCTGACACAGCAGCAGGGTTAAGGCCAAATACACTGCTCAGTCCTTGTTCTCAAAAAGCACAACATTAAACTGCAAAGCCACTGTGGCTGGGCCCTGAAGAGCATTTGGCCTTAAGGACAAAATGCACCATAACCAGCTTTGCTCCACCCGCAACATTTAGACTTTTTGGATCTGGGTCATTTGCCCACAGTCTGCTGTTCATCAGGGAATCTTATCTGAAGGACCCCTTTGCTCTTCCCTGCCACTGGGTTTTGTTTGGGGCAGTTCCTGACTGCTTTTCCAGTTTTTCCAAAAACTGAATTCCACAGGCATTTGTTCTTTCACTTTCAAAAGGAACCCGTATTGGGGAGTTTTGTTAGTTTTGTTTTTTCTTAACCAGTTATGTTAGGTAGCAAAAGCCCTGGTTTCAGTCACCATGGTTCCTCTTCTGCCCTAAACTCAAGATATTGCTTGCCTGCTTGTCCTATTTTAACACAAGTAAAATAGGCCCTTCAAGCTAATGCCCAAAATAAAAAGTCCCCCTCCAGGTGAGTTAGTCTTCACTGCGCAGAAGAGGCTGCACCCAAGTGCCCTCCCTAATTGGTATCCTTCTTCGTTCTTGTTTTAGTCAGTTCCCAGACTTAACATTTTCTCAATTTCTAATTCAAAGGGCTCCAAACTTTACTAATACACTGGTATCAGTAAGAAGTTCTTGAGCCTCCATAGATGGCATATGTAAATTTATTTGCACATTATGTACAAGTCGTACTGTACTAATATGCTCGTTTAAAACTGTTTAGTGGATGCTGTCTCCATCCTAGGAACCAGGCTTTCACCAGAGAACAAATACTACATTTGGAAGGGCCTCTAAAGATGATCTAAGCCAATCCCTTTATTGGTCATGAAACTGAGGCATAGAACAGTGGCCTATTTCCTTAAAATCTCATAGTAAATGACTTACTCCTGCTCTTAGAAAATAATTCCAATAAACTTCTAAAATAGGCCGTGGGCAAGGAGAAGAGGAAAATTGTGTCCTTCATGGTAGTTTAGTTTACAGTACATTTAGCTCCTCACAGAGGGCCAGTGGTTTCTTGCCCGCATGGGGCTTACATTCTAATGGGAGGGAGACAGACTAGATACAAAATCAGTAAGAGACATGGTATATAACAAGATAACATGACAATTACTGCTTTGGGGGAAAAAAGCAAGAGAAAAGTATAAGAGATATTGGGTGTCGATTTAAATATATATTGCAAAATATATTCACAGAAGTCATTGTTTTATGGTCATAAAAGTCATAATTACTCATTCTTATTAGACATTCATAAATAATCATTCTTATAATGGGAGGATACAAATAAATATAAAGTGTATTCCCATGATTTTTCCTGCCCCGCCCAGATTATGACACTGTCCATCTAGTAACCACAGCCATGGTTATGTGGACTATAAATCAACCACCAAAGACACTTAACTTTAAAAGTGCCTCAGTTTCAATAAATACAAGAAAGGGGATAGATGATTTTTAGCGTCCACTTTAACAGTAACATGCTATGGTTTTATAATCTCTGAAGAAATAGTTATTACATTTTTCTCAGCAGATGGAATACAGAATGATTCATAATACTCTTTTCTGATGTTTAAGACTTCCCTGAATCTCTGCAGAGGCGTCGATAATCAGATAGGATGCCCACAAAGCAGAGCAAGGACAAAGGAAGATGCCAGACCACGAGACAGATTTTTTAGGAGAGCACCTTCTGCCCAAATGTGTAGTTTGTAACATAGACCACCATGCAAACTGTTCTTAATGATTGTAGCCTAAAGTAGTCCAAGCCCCGCTGTCGGCCCCTCCTTTCCTGGATCTTGCCCAAAAGCTTGCCCAGCCATTCTGGCCATGTATATGGGTGATCTGTGTCCAAGATGACCATTTAGAGAGTGATTTTTGTCTATTAAACCTCATTTGGCCACAGAGGCTCTATCTGGAACCCGGAGAAGATGCTGCTGCCAGGGCTAGAGTTCCAACATTAAGCTCATTCTCATTCGTTCAGGATTGCCAGGGCTCACATGCAAGGCTGAACTCCTCTTCCACCCAGGGTCTGGTTGTTTTTCCACCAGGTAGGGTTGAAACTGCTGTATTGTCATGGTCTTGACGTACATTACAAAAGAATGTTCAAGCAAGAATCTGAGAAAAGGCGAAAAAAGAAGATGGAGGCCTGCAAAAAAAAAAAAAAAGAAAAAAAAAAAGAAACCTCAAACCTGAGGTCCTCAGATCAATCCAAGACCACAGGAAAATAGTAAGAGCTAAAATCTTTTCTGTATCTTGTGAATACATTTTGCTGCTGCAGTAAAGAGAGTTGAAATTCTGCTTCGCTTAACATATTGGAAGTCAGCATAACTGTGACAGATCCTATAACCACGATTTTGTTTGGAAGCAGAAATAGCTTAATCAAAAATTTCCCAGCTGCTCTCTCCAAATACTGGCTATTCCCTGTCTGTCCTGCATGTCTCATTTATTTGGTCAAAATACAGTCTTACGTTTGACTTTTTGAGAGCAAGGCCTATTTTAAAGGAAAATGTGATAGACAATACAAATTTGACCATGTTCTATGAGAATATTTTCTATTTTTACTATAATTTGGTGAGTTTAAGAAAGCTGTTCATACAGATCAAATGGAGTGTTACCACGCTTTATGATTTAAAAGGAGTTTAAGAAATTTCAGATTGTTTTTATGAGTTTCTCCGTTCTGCAGACTGTTGGATATTTTATTACAATGAACAATTCTGAGTCTGCAGAATCTGTTTTAGTGAATAATATAATGAGTTTCCCAAAGGTCAGTGGTATTCTACTTTAGGGAAAAAAAATTTAAAAAGGAGTACACAGAACTAGTCCGTAAAAGACCTAACAAAATATAACAGCAGGTGCCATCTGCTTGGCCATTTAGCAGTTACTTATTAAGCATGTGCCAGTCATTAGACCGAATGAGCATATGGGGTGGGATGGGAAATTAGAAAATCCAGTTTTCAGTAGGCCAAGCATAGTAGCTCACACATATAATCAATGCTTTGGTAGGCTGAGGTGGAAAGATCACTTCCCAGGAGTTCCAGACCAATGTGGGGAACATAACGAGACCCTTTCTCTACAAAATATAGAAAAAATTAGCTGGGTGTGGTGGCACACGCCTATAGTCATAGCTGCTTGGAAGGCTTGAGCCCAGGAATTCCAGGTGACAGTGAGCCATGATGTGCCACTGTACTTCAGCCTGGCGACAGAGTGAAGTCCGGTATCTCACTCTCAAAGAACCCACTATGCAGGTAAAGACGAAATTCTGATTATCTTCAAGTCTTATCCCCACCCTCAAATATATTCTGTACCTTCTCTTTTTTTTTTTTTAAATGGAAACAGTGCTGTGTGAACACACAGGTTTTTTTTAATACATATATATGCCAAGAAAGCATACAGACTCTATTTTTCAGGATTCTTTTGATTACAAATGAAAGAAACTCAACCCAAAGTAACATAAGCAAACAGGAACTGTTTTTCATCATGAAGCTAAGAAGGTGGCCAGCATTGCCCAGTCCAGAGGCTCATGCAGGATTTTTAGTGTTTCGCTACGTGGCTTGACCTCATTCTCTCTTCCTGCTAAGTTCTTTGCTGTCTGCTGCTTTACACTCCAGGGCTCGGTATTCCAGCTTAGCAACCCAGTGAAACGAGACCTTCTTTCTGTGAAAATTCATACACCAATCCCAGAGGAGATTCTGGCTGGCTTTGTTAGGGCCTCGCCCCTCACTAAACCAAAACTATGCCAGGGAAATGGGTACTATGAATGACCCAGCTAAGCTTATATGCCAGTCTGTGCATTTAGAGGTAGGTGAAGCATTGTGATTGGCAGTTTCCCCGTAATTACCTTGAGTGAGGGAAGAATTCCCCA